GGGGAGTGGAGTTTACGGAAAAAAAATTTAGCCCCCCCAAAATAAAATCTGTTCCGCCGCACCCTGACTGGAGTTACTAGCCCTGGCACTATCTACACTGGCAAGCAGGGCCTCTCTTAAGAATTTGTCAGTGGAGTGGCCATCAAGAGAAAGTGACCCAACTAGGAGGTGGTGAACGGAAAGAAAAATTGGAAAATCGAGAACAATTCGGGCTCGATTTTCGGCAGTTCTAGACACACTTTTTTATTTATTTCATTCGCTACTCAGAGAAATAGCTACCCTTTTTTCCTTTGACAGAAGGGATCTTCACTTGGAGGGGGGCTCATGGTTCACCGGAGGGGTCAAAACAAGCGCTGGGGGATCAAAACAGGGCCTGGGAGAGGGGCAGAAGCCCCCCCCCCCAAGCTATGTTATTTAAAGGGGCCCAGTCAGACCCAGACAGTTTATGAAACTTACTGCTTACCGTTGCAAAATTCTATCCAGACTCCAATACTCATTTTCTGTCCCAGGGCACTTTGGTCCTTTGAAAAAATTGGAGGGGGAAGCACGTGCCCTGTGCCCAAAAGCCGGTTCCTGCGCCTCTGTAGATATATAAGCGTGCTCATGAGAGACCAAAATACCAACAAAGGAAAATTACATAACCTGTAATTTTTACCACTAGACCACTTGCTCGTTCTTGTCAACCTGTCACAACTTATTCACTTTAACCTTTTTTCTCTAGCTTGCGTAATTAATATTCCACACATTTCAAGTCACAAAATGACTTATTTACTATTGAACCACAACGGTATATTATACAGCCGGTAGTCTCAACCACTAGATCACTTGCTCGTTGTTTGAAACAAACTGAAACTTATATATTTTATCCTATTTCGCTAAAAAGTATAATTTTAAATTCAATAACATAACATAACAAAATTATTTCTGTAGGACGAAATTATTTCTGTAAGGTACAGTACACAATCTGTAGTCCTTACCACAAGACCACTTGCTCGTTGCTGAAAGCTAATTGCAACTTAATCACTTTAACGTTTTACTCTATAGATTGAATAATTAAAATTCATTTCAAATCATAAAATGACTTCGGTGGCATTTGAACGACTATGGTACAATACACAACCTGTAGTCTTTACCATTAGACCACTTGCTCGTTGTTGAA